TCCACTCCCTCCTCCCTCGCCCCTCCTCCTCCCCCTCACTCCTCCTCCTCCTCCTTCCTCCTCCTCCTCCTCATCCTCCTCATGCCCTTCAATGCAACCGAAGCTTCTGATTCACTGGCTTCAAGTTGTGGCAGACTGATGGGAGGCCGATGAGCGGAGACGTGGGGCATGGGACCGCGCGAGCATCGATCGCCCTGGCTCAGGTGAGGGATGAAGAGGAGCCAAGTGATCTGACTTGCGCAACAGCGAGTGCTTCAGTGTCGGAGAGAAGCTCGCTTGCGAGGAGGCGTACAGGTCAGAGCTCGCTGCTCCTCCCCTACTGCCTCACTCGTGGGGTAGCTGGCTGGAGGAACCAACGACTACACGGCGACGTTGCTGGCAAGGAATGAGCTCTTCAAATCACAGGCAGGAGGCCCGGCGAAGTTCCTCCCCTCTCCCTCCTTCATTCCCTTCGCTCCCTCGCTCCCTTACCTGCTCACCTTCCCCTCCCCTCCCCCGCCCTCATCCCCTCCCGTCCCTCTTCCACCTTCCCTGCTCGCGCTCATCACTCCTATCCATCAGTTATCTGCTGGAAAGGAGGCCGTCGTGGGAGCAGCTTTCGGAGGATACGCGAGGAAGCTCTTGCGGGACGAGCTGCTTGCTGTCAACGTGCGACTGAACTTGCCCTGCACCGTCCTCAGCTGTCGCAGGCCTTGGGACCTCCGCTGAAGCTGGAGGAGCACGAAGAGCTTGCAGCGAGTGCGAGCAGCAAGGTGAGCAAGGACTGAAACGTTGATCGCTTCTCCTCGCACGTCTGCTCGGTTCCTGCTTTCCCTTCTTGACATCTCTCCTCTCTCCTCTCTCCTCTCTCCTCTCTCCTCACTCCTTCTCCAGGCTCTCGCGTTCGTGACTGACTTCAAGGCGACTGCCCTTGCTCACGTTCAACGATGACTCAGTTCCCGGGCTGCCGCGCCACTCGAAGAAGCTCATACTCGTGATGGATCGTATCGACTCCTAGTGTCCAGTCACTGTACAGTCATGGCCGGCGCCGGCGAATACTCGTAGTGTGACGGCGCGGCCCGTCTCGGCAACTTGACTCCGGGCTCTGTCACGGTGGGCGGTATCAGGCCGCCTCCAGCAGCTCACTGCGGCTCGGTGATGCCAGCCGTTCCAGTCAGATATTTGCTTGGGTTGCACATCCTAGCATACAGTCACAAGGCTAACTCTCATGTGCTCCTCAACAGGAATGATCCTAGTTTCGTGTGCATCAAACTCCAGCAAAAACTGTCACAAGTTGTTGCAGCTGAGGTCAACTGCCAGTGTCTGCATTCAAGTTACCGTTTGGCATAATACAAGTCCGATCTAACAAATCAAGATTGTAGTACTCTGTCACGGTGGCATCATGGCACAGAGTCACGTGACAACGCCAGGCTTGAATGTCGGATCCGACCGGCGCCCTGAGTGCCAGTCAGTACCGTACCCCGCCGGCCGGGCACGCGTACATCCGATCATCGGCGAGCAGGGACTCTCGGCCTAAGTCAAACTGTACTTCCGTACTACCTGCCGCAGGCCAGACTTTCGCCGGAGTCCGACGGTAGCAGCCTGACGGCCAGTGACGCCTGACTGAGGGCTGGGCCCGCCGGGCCGCTTGCGGCCGCCGCCGGGGCCGGGCCGCCGCGCTCGGGACCCGGCCCGGCCCGGGGTGCCCCCTACTAGGCCTGGCCGGGCGCCGCGGACTCCGGGACTCGGGACGTGACGCCGGGCCGCCGCGTAGCTACTAGCGGCCGCCCCGGGCCCTGAGCCATCACACTGACAGTCAGGACGCCGGGCCCGGCCGTGACTCATTGTGACCCGGTGAGACCAGTCGGTGTGAGCGTGACTGATTGCAGTCGCCGTCATGTGGTCAGACTGTGCCGTGACTGAGCAGCCTCACCGGACGGTCCAGGAGCAGCCAGCTGGGAGATGAGTAAATTCTTTAGTTGACAGTCAATGTGAAAAAAAAACAAAGAGATTTCCGAGTCACGGTCTGAGTTTCGGTCACGTCGGCAGTGGAGGCCGTCCTGTGGTAAAATACCTAATGATAAGGGCAGCAGGCTAGGACGCCTAGTGGAGCTCCTATATGAGAGTTGCTGCCCTAGTCACCGCACAGACGCGAACGTGACAACCGTTAAAAACAAATCAAGCTAACGTCCCCTGCAGTACTGTTTATATTAGTCAACTTGAAATCGGGAACATGAGGTTCTTGAAATCTCGTGGTATCTCGTCGTTTCGAGATGAAGGGTGTGCTGTAAAACAATCGTTTTTAAAAACCCAATCCCCTCCCTCGGAGATCAGCTCCTTGAACCTGGCAGCTCTCGCCTGCTCCCCTCCCTCCCTCCTCCTCCTCCTCCTCTTCATCCTACATCCTCCTCCTACTCCTCTTCCTACATCCTCCTCCACTTCACCCTACATCCTCCCCTCCTCCCCTCCTCTTCATCCTCCCTCCTCCCCTCCTCCTCTTCACCCTACATCCTCCCTTCTTCTTCATCCTACATCCTCCCCCCTCTTCATCCTACATCCTCCCCTCCTCTTCATCCTACATCCTCCCCTCCTCTTTTCCAAGTTCTCCCCGAGGCAGCCTTGCAAGGGCCCTCAAACTCAGACTCAGTCCGCGCCATCATGACAGATTCTGTTGCTTCCTCTCCGAACGTGCTCTTGTTCCCGCGAAGAAAGTCAGGACAAGGGCATATTGTTTACAAAGGTAGACGTCCTCTAGCTGTAGACATGCCAACGTTGCAGAAACTTTTCTCGATTCCGCAATTCAAAGCAGCACGGGCGCTGGGTATATCTCTCACTGCACTCAAGCACAGCTGTCGCAAGCTCGGAATCGATCGCTGGCCATATCGCCGTCCCAAGAGAAGCAGAGCAAAGAAAATCAAACGAACACGGGAGGATTCAAGGGAGACCAAGCTCAGCTCTACGAAGCAGCGCAGGAGAACGTCGGAAACTTCTTGGGTTGAAAGCGCACTACCCCTTACCCAAGAATGGATCAAGATGTACATGGAGAGCTCTGACGATACCCTCACATTTTATGATGATGCGTGAAGAAAACTAGAAAGGAAAGCAAGGAGCTGAATAGTGCAAGCTTGCTGCTCTGTCGTTATGTGTGTCCTTATTTTGTGTCTGTCAAATCGGTGTTCATTCATTTTTGTAATGAACTTCAGAATCGTGCAAGTGAAGTTCGAGTCCCGATCACTGTGAGTGGGTGAGTGAGTGGCCTCAGCAGCGGCTGCGCCCGTTCATGGTGCTGGAAGTCTGACTCGGCATCCGAGTCAGTGTGCCGGGAACGCCCGTCAACTTGTGAACTTACCGATAGCATCCGATCCGACGCGATACAGTTCGAAATCAACCGTCTCGCAGATGGTGCCGTCGGAGTCTCGGAGCCTGGCGGCCGCCACTGAGTGGCTGATCCAATCGGATCGGAGTCTCGGATCGCTTTACTCAAAGTTAAGTTAAAAAATCAGTACGAGGACAATCAGTCGAGGAGGCTTTTAAGTTAACCCTGCCTCGGACACCTGCGCGGCCGCCGGGTGACTTCTTTGATCAGACCCCTTGTTCTCCCATGTCCATGACTTCAGGGGTGATACTTCCAATCTCCCCTTGAGCGTAGCCGTATTCTGCCACCGTGACGGTGTCATCTGCTGTCCTGTCGTGGACTGATATAAGCTGTCTCGCTTATCTCCTGCTGCCATCCACGACTTCATTCCTAAGTTCTTGCTGTCTTCTTCATGATTCTCCTACGTCGTCCTTATTGTAGCTGTTGCTGTCCTCTCCAGGGATGCATTCCGAGGCTCTAAGCATCTGTGCACTTGAGCCACGTCGATTACTTGGCCGGGCATTGTCTGAGGTGAAGCTTCCTCCTATCAGGTGCTTCAACAGGCTCTCACATACTGGCCTAGTGACTATCATGATTGACGGTGAAGAAAAGATACGATGCCATCATGGCATTAACAACTCTATCCTTGCTCTTTCAGACGGTCACCCGGAAAAATCGGTGTGCGACCGCGAGTCACTGACGGTTCCGAGCCTGCCGCCGCGGGCCGGGGCCCGGCGCAGCCGCCGGGCCCGGGGGCGGGGGGCGGGCGCGGCCGCCGGCGCCGCTTCCCGGAGTCCGCCGTCGGCTCGGACTCCGGGACCGCCCCCGGCCCGGCGCGGGCCGCGGCCCGGTGACTGCGCCGGGTCGGACGCCGGGCCGGGCCGATCCGATCACACTGTCGGACCGTACGGACTGCCCGGGCCGCCGGAGTGCCGCCGCGTGCAGCCTGTCAGTGCAGCCACCGAGTCCGACTCCACCGGCCCTCCCTGCTCCACCATGTCCACGGTCCCACCGTCCGGCGTAGCTCCGAGCCGCTGAGCCGGGCACTGCGGCACCGGTGAGCTCCACCGGCCGCCCGCGGCCAGTGGAGCTGAGTCCACCCCGGGCCCGGCGGGCCGCTGCCGCCGCCGGGGCCGGGTGCCACGGTGAGGCCAGAGGTCATAGAGGGGCCGGGGCCGGGTGCCACGGTGAGGCCAGAGGTCATAGAGGGGATGAGGGCAGTTTTTGGTGGCGAATGCGATGAGGTGTGGAATCCCGGCGGCCGTTCTGTTGATGGCGATGGTGGGAGAGGGGCGAGGAGCAGGAGGAGCAGGAGGAGCAGGAGGAGCAGGAGGGGTAGGAGGGGTAGGAGGGGTAGGAGGGGTAGGGAGAGCAGGGGGGCAAGGATGGTTGATGGGTGGAGGAGGCCTGAAGGGAGTAAGTTGGCCGTTGATGAGAGGCAGGGGATGGTCTTTTGAGGGAAGAGCGAGACTGGTTTTGAGAGGGGGAATGGAGGCAGCAGCGACGGAGGAGGATGAGGCGTCTCTCTTGAAGGGATCCAGTCAGGTCCAGAAGCACGAGACGGGCAACAAGCGAGAGACTGCTGCGCAAGAGGACGGGTGCAGTTTGATGTTCAAACACCTAGACGAAGTCAGGGGGAATGTCCGGGGCTACCTGGCATGCCCTGGGCCGGGGGATGTGAAGTTTGTTCTGTGCGACGAGGACTGGATGGCGACACGCCCGGGGATCCTTCAGTTGAGTGAGACGCTGAAGGCGAGCAAGGAGATGGTGTGGAAGCTGCTCTGCCCTCTGAGCCTTCACTCCCTGTGCCCTCAGCTCTCTTACCTCAACGAGACGTACGACGAGGAGATGGAGACAGACGCTCTCCGAACCTTCCTCGTCACCTCCAACGCGCGAGTCCCTGCTTGGGCCTGGGCGACTCAGACGATGCAGAGCAAGGACGGGACGAAGTTGGCCTGCCGCCTGCTGTTCGGTGACTACGAGTCCGGGGTGGTCATGTGGGCTGTGCTCGAGGACGGTGGGGAAGTGCTCTCGTTGAACAGGATGGTACTGAAGGAAGGAGACAAGGATGGTGTGTGCTTGGCTGAGCTGACGTCAGCCAGGCCTAGCGACGTGGGGCTGGGAGGAGCTGAGGACTCGAAGGGGCTGGAGAGGATGAAGTTGCTCTTCGGAGCAGCTCTCGAGCAGCTGAAGCGCGTGCTGGGATTGGGAGAGAAGAAGAGGATTGACATGCTGAAGCCGAAAGATCAGGAGGAGGAGGGGGGGGGGGAGGAGGAGGACAAGCGCGATGTGAACAAGGACGAGGAGGTGGAGGTGTTGGACACCAGCAAGAACGTCTGGGAGCGGAAGGGGCGACGAGAGCTCCGCTGCGGGGACATCGTGAGGGTGAACAAGATGCAGCACTTCCCAGCTGACCTCCTCCTGCTGGCCTCCTCGACTCCCTCGGAGGTTGTCATCGAGACCTCCTGCTTCGACAAGGACGGGAGCCTCAGGCAGTGGCAGGTCGCCCCCTCCCCCCTCGCCTCCGTCAGCTTCGGGGACGGGCAGCCAGAGAGCCTCAGCAGTCTGTCGAACTTCTTCCTCGTGGTCGATCCTCCCCGTTCTCCTCTCTACCTGGACAAGTGGAACGCGCACCTCTACTCCTCCTCGGCCGACCAGGTCAGCTCCTGCCAGGCCTCCTTCCAGTTCCGCCAGCTCCTCCCCTTCAACGCTCGCCTGCTCTTCACGGACTGGGCGGTGGGAGTTGTCGCGTACCGGGGGAATGACACTTTGTTCGCCCTCAACGGAGGATGGGGAGGGTGCGAGCGAGCCGAACGCCTTAGAAGGCACCAGGACGAGGAGGAGAAGGCGAAGAAGGAAGAGGCGAGGAAGCAGCACATCGAGTCGATCAAGGAGCCAGTGGCTCCCGCAGACTTCGAGGCCTCGACGGGGGTGAAATGGCGGAGCTTCTTCACCGACGTACCTGACGACGGCAACTGCATGATGCACGCTGTTTGGTTGGGGCTCAGCTCCCTACTCAAGTACTACCCGAGCTTGAAGGTGAACCCTCGCCCTTCACCCTCCTGTATGCTCCTCCTCCTGTACCCTCCTCCTCCTGTACCCTCCTCCTCCTGTACCCTCCACCACCTCCTCCTCCCGCACCCTACTCCATCTGTGTCCTCCTCCTGTGAACTCCTCCGCGTACCCTCCTCCTCCTCTCGTACCCTCAACCTCTTGTAGCCTCCTCTGCTGACGAGAAGAATCTTCCATCCATCCTTCCCTCCTCAGGTGGACGAGGAGCCTGCGCTGGCAGCGAGTGCCGGGGAGTTCAGGCGAGACGCGGTGGAGCTGATGAGGAAGGATGGCGGGTACCGTGAGGCCGTGCTCAATCAGCTACAGCTCTGGCTGAGCGTCGACTGTGACCTGCTCTTCGGGCTGGAGGATTTCTTCGTCCTCCCTCCCTCCCTCCAGAGCGTCGTGGTGGATCTGAACCAACAGGTCCAGCTAGGGGGAGCAGACCCGTCGCTGGTGGACTACGAGGAGCTGGTTGAGCTCTACATGAAGTCGCTGCTCGAGGAGCAGGAGGACAGCGGGAAAAAGTTCTTCATGCCCCTCGGCGAGCTCGAACTCGATGCCCTCTGCCGCATCTACAAGATCCGACTGCAGGTGAGCTGCAGCAGGGAGGATGGAGGGGAGGGAGTAAGGAGGGGGGATAGAGATCGCGGAAGACTAGATGAGCTTGGAGACGAGGAGAGGAGAAGAGAAAGGAGAGGGAGGAGGAGGAAGCGGGTGGGTGAGGGGACGGCAGGGGGAGCATGTAAAGAAGAGCTCGTTGAGCTAAATCGCACGGCAGGTCATCAAGACTGAATCGCTGGAGCTCATCGCTGAAGGCTCAAGGAGGATGCAGGACGTGAGCCCGGAAGACGAGGAGCACGTGAAGAGGTTGAACGAGGAGGAGGGGCAGGAGGAGACTGATGCAGGGGCAGGAGCGTGGCCCCAGCTCTCAAGGAGCTGGAGGAGAAGAGCTCTTGCTCGGAAGATGCTCGGGAGGCAGTGGACACCGTCCTCCTGTACTTGAACAATATCCTAGACAGGTCAAGACCTGCTGGCTCTAACCCCCCCCCTCCCCCCCCCCCCCCTCCTCATCCTCCTCCTCATCCTCATCCTCCTCCTCCTCCTCCTCCTCCTCCTCCTCCTCCTCCTCCTCCTCCTCCCTTTTCTCACTCACTCCCTCCCTCCCTCGTCCATACTTCTCATCCTCGACTTCCTCTGCCTACCCATCGTTTACTCGGCTGACGCATGTGCAGTCGGGACGACCACAAGTTTCGCAGCATTCGAGCAGGGAACGCTGGTTTTCAGCGGCGAGTGGGGAAGAAGGAGGGAGGTTGCGACCTGATGGCAAGGTGCAAGTGCTCCTCCTCCTCCTCCTCCTCCTCCTCCTCCTCCTCCTCCTCCT